TATAAACGTGTACACCGAGGTCAACATCAAGTGGCAACGTATGCACCAGAGCACATAGGCATACGCACACGCACACACACACGTGCGCGGGCTTGTACACACACACATAAACACATATACATGTATATATATATATATATTTATATATGGTCGGTCACCCCTTTCTGAAGTATAAAAAAGGTACAGTGTACCCTAAAATGATGACTCCCCAAATTAGTCTATCGAAAAGTTCTTTAGATTTTTTAAAAAAAATCGAGAATATACAAATGCTGTATGTCTGAATGTGCTAAAAGGAATATATCTTTAAATATACTTACAAATATTCCACCGTTTTTTCTCTTTTTTTCTTCCTGATATTATTTTTACTATTGTTGTTTTGTTATTATTGTGCGTGGAATTTAATGTAAGCCGAAAATTACTCATGTTTATCTTTATTTACAAACACGTCAAGGGAAACAAACGCAACTATTAATTTAAATATTGCACGTACTTACATCTATTTATTTAGATAGACAGAGAGAGAGTTAGAATGAGAAATAAAGATAAACACATATAATAGTTATATTGTTATAATCATAATTGGGAGCATTCTATTCTATTCTCATTACTAATTAGCAACAAGAACACCCAGCTAACTGACCCTTACGGCTTAATCAGAAAATCGTAGAAGTATTTAGCGTTGCAAGCACATTACCTACACACGCATACATTTTAACCTACAACTGTGCACATTCATACAACGTGTTACTTATATCAAAAAGTTGTTGACGACGGCAGGTGTAATGAAGCACAGTGGAACAACAGTAGCAAGGCGTAGGGTGTAAAGATCTCGTTATATTCGCTTAGGGGATGCGAAAGTATTTTTATAACCTACGTTTTTCAACAGACACAGAAAATATACACACGGACATTCATACGTTTATAGGTTGTTTTAAGAGTATAAACTTATTTTTATCACGGGAAATTTAGAGAAAAAAAGTAAAACATACAGCTGAATCTTATATATATATATATATATATATATATATATATATATATATATATATATCGATATGAGAAAGGAAAGTATTTTGAAGTTTTCAGATGAACACACTCTGTTTGGATTAAAACGCAAATCTACGATACCAACGATTAATACACACTATGGATTTACCCTGGATTACCTCTGGATTACTATTCATCACTTTCAAAGGGATACCGAAATTACCTATTTGGGATAAGTAACCGAGTGTCGTGGATATAGTTGGCGCTGAATCGGAGGTTTATTCCTGTCGACGCCATTCTGAAAACAACACGTGGTACACGCTGAGAGCCGTTTCCTGTCTCGACTTACTTTTTTTATTGATTGAGTGGGTATTTTTAAATATATACATACAGTTTTTCAATTACTTTTTAACGCAAACACACCATCCCTGTAATTTTCTCACAAATAATTATTATAAATTTTCTATATTTACCAATGTTTACTGTAATTTCTGTTTTAATAACCAAGCCTGTTTCCAAGTTTTGTTTAATGATTCATTTTATATATATATATATATATATATATATATATATATATATATATATATATATATATGTATGTATGTATAAAAAAGAAATTACAGTAATATATGTGTGTGTGTATGTATTATGAAAATCTAGTTTTTAAGGTATGCTATATTTATGAGTAAAAGTGCTCAATATCAAGGATAGATATGTATATATAAAAAGTAGACATCAAGTTCAACAACAGTGGCGACTGTCTGTTCCATGTTTCAACGCATTCTTCCAGCTATAATTATTAGTTATTCCTGAAACACGAGACACACACACACACACACACACACACACACATATATATATATATATATATATATATATATATATATATATATATATATATATATATATATTTCAAAATTATATATATATATATATATATATATATATATATATATATATGTTGATTTGTAAGATGTAATTTGGAAACTTTTATCTTGGAATGCTTCGTCAGTGATCCGGCTCCATAGTAAAACGAAATTTATTACAGAAGAACAACATCTACCTTACGGCGATGTAATATGATGAACCTTCAGCTGCTTAACGGGAATCACATTTCATAACTATAATTTTTGATTTTGTTCTTATGCAATAAATTTCTTTGAGACGCCGGATCTCTGGCGATAGATGACAAGGATTTTTTTTCTATCTTATATATATTTCCTGCTCAGTCAGATTTTAACTTATCTTTACATATATACATATATAACTATATATATATATATATATATATATATATATATATATATATATATATATATATATATATATATATATATAATGTATTTAGTCAGCAAGTATTCATTCAAACAAGTTTGTTTATGGGTTTTTTTTTTCATTTTAGAAAATTGGAATAGCAGACAGTCCTTGTCTGTACTTTTCAACCAAACTCGAGATTGCCAATATTTTTTGCTGTTTAAATATACGTTCTCACAGCTATACATACAGACATATATATATATATATATATATATATATATATATATATATATATATGTGTGTGTGTGTGTGTGTGATGAATGACAGAGGTTTAAACATATGTAACCAGTTACATATCTCTCCGTAACCCTTGATACACATATGTAGATATTTGATTAAACATTGGTTGGCAAAAGGCCAGATAAATAGTTTTTTCAGTTTGCTCTTTCTCTGCGGTCCGCTACTTTGTATATGGATACTTATTAACCTTTTAATAGATATAAATATATTTTAAACTTCGCTTAGTCTGGTACAAGGCCCCTAGAAATCCTGAGTGAATTTCCAACCGAATTTATGACTTGCTGCGCCAATCTTCATCTAATCACAGATATAATGATATTTGCAAATGGTAGTTTTGTCTGACCCATTACAACGATGTGGGAACATACAATCGAATTAATTTCAGTGGCTTGCGAGAGAAAATTGGTATTTATTACCTTTTAGTCTATCAAGATACACTTTGGTCCATAGATAGCTCCAGATTAAATTAAAAGTATCATTATTAATGTAAAAATTATTACTTGTATTTTCTCAGTTTACAAAACGAAACCTAGTTAGCATATCCACGAGAAGATTGTGTAGAGCCAATTCTACAAGCAAGTCTGCCGTTCAAATCAGAATTTGGTACTTATTTGAAATAGACGCCCTTTATTTTTATTTATGTGTGTGGGGGGCGGTATATTTTATCCACCAGCCTGCTCATTCAAGAAATTCTATTAAAAAAAATGGGCTCTCCGGCAGAAATAAAATGTGTGTTTCCCTGTAGCAGAAACCGCCGATATATTCAGTGTGCTTCACCATTCAGCTATAGAGAGTATCACATTTCAGCAAGGCTCTGTTTTCCCTTTCAAGGAAAGCACATTTCTCGAATACGCTGACAGGTAGACATAATACACAATGTTCAAGATATAAATAAGGCACCAATTTTAAATGAGAGTATCCGCTATAATAAAATTTAAAATATAATATATATGTATATATATATATACTGAGAGAAATAGGTAGAGAGTGTAATTAATTGATGGCGAGATAGATATCCATTATCCATAGATAGATAGTTAGATAGATAAAGTGTATGGATAAATAATGTGGTCAAAGATTCAACAATCAACAGAAATCTTCAGACATATAGCAAATTTTATACAATACACAAACACACATAGGTAGCAATCTGAAAATTGTCGCCATTTTATATTTTAATTTCGCGCATGCGCGTTGTTTGTTTTTAATTTTGGCGACAGCAAATTATAATAAGGTCAGTTGGGCACCATCTTTTAGAAAAAGAGCACCATGACGCAATTCACTCCACCAGAAATTTGTAAATGGCATGCTGTACTGTTTGCCATCGCGCCAGAAGCTTCAATACGAACATTTCAGGGCGTTTGTTTGTCAATCCGAGGACAGTTCAGTGTATTTGGAAAAAGTTGAACGAGTCTAAGACTGATTTAGCGTGATCATTAGTGATGGTGACGTTATACCTACATTCATTTTCCCACGAGGCCTCCGACTCAACACTTAAGTGCCTTAAGGAGATAGTGCTGCCCTGGGTCAAGAGGATGGCTCATGGAAGCGGGAGAACCCAGTCATGGCTGTCAGTCAATTTCTGCAACCACATCACACCTTACATCTGGTCACCAAACTCCTCAGACTGCACGCCCTTGATTATTATGTGTAGGGCACAATTGAGCGAGAGACCAACAAAACTCCTTGTAATACCAAAGATGAACTAAAGGCAAGGATTATGGCAGCATTCACCAACTTAAACAAGAAGACTGTCTAGAAGATTTTCAGGAGATTCCGAAGTCCTCTAGAGGCCGTGCTTGAAGCCAATGGCAATTAGATTGAATAAATTTACTCTTTAGTATTTCACGATATTTTTACATAATTTTGGTAAATATATCTGCTAAAATGTCATTTTCATTCTTGCCAAATTTAAATGATAATTTATCCATCACAGCGTGTATAAGACAATTTTTGTTAATTAATTTTAATGCCATTTTTTCCAAAATACAAATAATCCTTCACATTCAAAGAGGGATCTCGTTAGAAACTGTCAGAAATTCATTTTAGAAGATATATTGTCAAAGCTTTCGTCTTGTGGCGTAGACCAAGAATTTTGTGACGTAGGTTAAGAATAAAAATGTTCACTGTGGTCAATGCCAAGCCTGATATTGAGCACTTTTACACATAAATATAGCATACCTTAAAATTTTATCATATATATATATATATATATATATAAATATATATATATATATATATATATATATATATATATATAGAACAGAGACGCTCTAAAATTAATGTCACCTTTTTTAATTTCATAGAGTCTAATCGATACAAGAGAAACAATTACATCATCCGATAAAACAAATATTCATTTAGAAAACTTTTTTCTTTCATAATATCCCTGCCATTTGTTGTGTATTTGCGAGTTAGTTTTCATTTTGTGAGTGAACAGCTGTTCAGGGCCACCCCAAACATGGATTATCATGTATATTTATTCCACCCCCAGCTACATCCATTGTGTGGTCTCCATAACTGCTTAGCAAGCATCGATGGATATTAGTGGTTAAATTATTTTCCATGTTCAGGTATTAAGTGACACATCACTTTATGGTCGGACGACATTTTGTCAGATTGTCCCTTAGCTTCTCCTTGTAACAAAGCAAAATATGTATGAAGGGAAGGTCCAACCTCTCATACGTCTTCTTTACCTTTTTCATATTTAACTTCTTTTTTCCTTTGACTGTTTTGTCATATATATATATTCATTTTTTTTAAATTGACAATAGTTTAACCTGTTGCACAATACCTTTGTTTGTCTTTTATGTTTATATCTTTCATACGACTCATGTCAATCTTTTATATATATGTGAAATTGTAACAATGGATATCAAGAATTTGACAAAGATATTTATTTACTTACAATTTAATTAACTCTCGAGTTACATGATGTAATCCTCAATGAATTTATTGTAAGAATTTCTAAACAGAATCTTATCAGCTGATATTCACATTACACACACACACACACACACACACATATATATATATATTGTGTGTATGTTTCAAAAGCTACTCGAATTTTGAATTCGTCGTCAATTTCAGTATTTAAAAACATTCATTTAATTTAATATTTAATCTAAACCATTAATCATTGTAAGTCAGTAATATTAATGTTTCTTAATTTTAATCATTAATCTTGTTGGTAAGTCAATAAACATTGCATCTATTGTCATTTAAAAAGTGGGGACACCTATATATATATATATATATATATATATATATATATATATATATATATATATATTATATATATATAACCGATAAATTCTGTCTGTTTAATTTTTATTAAGTTTTCCCAACATATGAATAACTTGTCTCCAGTATATAAATAATGTGTCTCACTTATGTATCAAAATTGTGGATAAATCGTCGAAGGTTCATATTTTCGTCCGAGGACTTTCGATATCTCATGTCATTATCAAGAACGTTGATGTTGTTAGTGTCTTAACGTGACCTCGTGTATATTTAAATTAAGAATGTAGCCTTCCTAAAATGCCACTACAAAGTTATTGAAAAGTTTCATCATGAAAATGAAAACTTTATTACAGATAATGACATGGGATTGTCGAAAATAATCGAACAAAAATATGAATTTTGGACTGATTTTTACACAAGTTTCGTCCAGGTGGGTGACATTTTAATATTATCTTTCATATGTTGTGAAATCCTATTATGAAATTTAATATACCATATCGGTTAAATTTAATAAAACTTTTTTGTATATATATATATATATATAGATAGATAGATAGATAGATAGACAGACAGACAGACAGAGAAAGCGAGACAGATGTTTTCTCATTCTCTTAAATTACCTTCTCTTTTCCTCTTCCCTATCGAAATTGTACCTTTCTTCTTTGCAGTTCAGTTTCCTTTCCTTTTTTACTCTTAATTTTTATTCTTTTTTCTATCTTTCCTATAGACTTTACCCTTTACTTCTCACTCACTCACTCTCTCTCTCTCTCTCTCTTTCCGCACCCTACTCTGTCATTCCTGTTATTCGTTCCAATCCCTTGCATGTTTTTATTTCTTCTCATTTTATCCTTCTCTCTCCTTTCTTCCTTGTTGTCCGTTTTTTCCTATACCACTCTGTCTCTCTCTCTCTCTCTCTCTCTATTTCTCGTGTCTCTTCTTCTGTCTTTCTTTTCTTTCTTCCTCCTAATACTTTTCGTTTACTTTCACTTTCTTTTTCCTCACACCCTTATCTCTTTCTTTCTACTTCCACTCCCTATTTTTTACTCATCCCTTTTCACTTTCGTTTTCCCAGTCCCCGTTTTCCGTCAGTTTTTTTTTTCACATTGTTTGTTTCCTCTCTCCTCCCCTTTTCTTCTATTATTTCTACTCTTCTATCTCTAACCTTACATGTCGCTTTCTTTCACTCCCTCTCTCTCTCTCTCTCTCTCTCTCTTACTGTCTCTCTCATTTTATCTCCGTCACTCTCTCTCTCTTCTTAAGTCTTTGTACACGATTTCCTTCCCTCTTGCCTTCTCCTCCCCAGCGCTCAATGTTTTTCCTTCTATTTTTCTTTTTACTTTGTCCCATATATCTCTTTCCCGCTCTTTCTTTACTTTTTCTTTCTCTTTTAACGATTCTCCATGTTTCTTCTTCCCTCTCTCTCTCTCGGATGTTCTTATTTCTTTTTCTTTTCTCCTCTCTCACATTTCTCTATCTTTCTACTTGCTTTTTTTTCTAATTTCATCACAATTTTCATTTTGTTCTCATTTTCTTTATCTATCATTTCTTTCTTTCCTCCTACATTCACCCCGCTCTTTCCTCTTTCATTCCTCCATCTACATTTTCTTCTTTCTTTCCTCCATCTATATTTTCATCTTTCTTTCCTCCGTCTACATTTCGATAATTCTCTCTTTTTATCTTATAATATATAATTTTATAAACATTTTTTTCCAATAAATTTTGCTTGTCACTTTTTTCTCCTATATTTTTTTTACCTCTCTCTATATATGCTTTCTCCCACCCGTTTCTGACCTATATATGTTGCTTCTCTGGTCTCTGTCTACATTTTATTTCTTGTACACTTTCCTTACATCTTTCTCTCTTTCTTTTCTCCTATATTTTGTATCTCTTTCTTTTTTTCTCCTCCACTTTTCTTGCCTCTCTCTATCTTATTCTTTAGCATCTTTCTTTCTTTTCCCTTTTTCTCTTTTCCTTCTCCTTCACTTTGCCTACTTCTCTCTTTCGCACTTTCCCTTTTCCTACCTCTATGTATCTTTTTTATTTTTTCCAACATATTTATTACTACACTCTCTCTCTTTTCCTTCTCCTATACTTTCTTACCTCTTTCTTTTTTCTTCTATACTTTTCATCTCTCTCTCTCTTTTATTTCTTGTAAATATTGGTTCCATCTCCCTTTCTTTTTTTCTCTTTTCCTTCTTCACTTTCCTTAGTTCTATCGTCCTTTCTTTTACCGTTTCCTAAACTTTCATTCCCACTCTCTCTTTTTTCCTTCTCTTTCTTTCCCTCTCTTTTTCTTAACCGCAAACTGACTCTCCTAAAATGACATTAGATAGGTCTCCCTCCATATCTGTTTTTCTTCTTTTTTTCTGCATCTTTATTATTTACTTATCCACGCAAACATACCTTCCCACATGTCAGCAAAGACCATCATCCGTTCTTCGCTTACTCGTCCTACAAATTCTATTAACAACCTCGAACAGGAATTCTCTAAGAAGCAGTTGTTTGTTTTCCCTTTTAACTTATTTCTCTTCACACATTTTCGCTTTCATCCCCTTTACCTGGAATAGTGTTATCTGAAGAAACGAGAAGAAAATGGAATTTATTCACCCGAATGCATTTACATCTTCAGTAAGCAATTAAATCCCGAATAGGAAGTCCTTCATTAATTTGGTATCTCTGGCATTAGTAGTCATCAATTCCAAGCTTCAGATTGATTACCTTATGCTGTTATTTAGCCCAGGTGTCGAGGTTCATATTCTTATCTTTCGCTTAGGCTCTCCAACAGACGCTTACATTCATACTCATTGCTTTCCTCTGTTAACAAGAATTTGGTGATAAACTTAGCTGTTGTATCACGTAGGCTTTGAAATTCCCCAAAGAAAAAAAAAAAATACTTTTCATTGACAATCAGTCTCGATCTACAAACCTTTTAGACCACTGATTCCTTCATGCAACGTTTGATCCCTCATCAACACCCCCAGGGATGTACAAAAAATATCAAGCAAATATATGTTTTAGTTAAGGATAAATTCCCTTGTCCGTTTCCTTCATTTTCGTTTTTCGATAAGAAATATTTTAGCTTGACATTTGTTTATGGAAATAAAAAGATATTTATACGTACAATCAGAATGAGACCACTGACATTTCTAGGGCACATAATAAGGAAAGAGAGTTTGGAAAATATAACACCCAAAGGAGATGTTGAAGTCAGAAGAGACAAAGAAAAAAACAAATAATCTAGTAACGAGTTTGCGTAAATGGTTTGAAGAACAGGAATTCGTCGCGATAATTAAAAGACAAACATTGCTAAACGCTACAAAAGATAGGAAGTTGTTGAGAACCAGAACTACTCACGTCCAGAAGGGACACAGCTCATAGAAGAAATTCTTTTTCAATTTATATTTCTCTTTCGATACAAGACGCGTTTGTCCCAATAATAATAATAATAATGCTCACAAGTACAGGTCACACCTCACGAAGGGCTTTATTTATGTGAAATGTTCGTGATCTTAGGTAGACTATCTATTTCTTTATTTTCACACAAATGTCCAGTGGAAAATGTCATGATACCATTTCTGAACTTAAGTCGCTGGTTGGGACCCGGAAAGAAATATGTATACAACAGAAATCAAAGGAATAATAATAATAATAATAATAATAATAATAATAATAATAATAATAATTGGCTGTCCCTGTGGTGCAATACAACTTTAATGTCCTTAACTGGACCATAGCTGAAATTAAGCGAATGGATGCCAAAACGAGAAAGCTTCTCACTTCCTATCGCATGCATCATCCTAAAGCTGATGTTGATCGTCTGTATGTGCCCAGATCCGAAGGAGGCAGAGGATTAGTTCAACTAGAACTGTCCTACAAAACTACAACAATTGGCCTCCAAAGATACTTGGAAACTATAGAAGACTGAATGATGGTATGCGTCAAGGAACATGAAAGTAGTAAGCGACTTTACTCTGTAATGAAAGAAGCCAACAAATTCAAAATGGAGTTTCAAATGGGCGTAGAGATGCAACTAGATACACCGGCTGAAACTGCAAAATACTTAAAAAAGACAGCAAAAACGAATGCAACCGACCAGATACAGAAGCGATGGCAAGATAAACCGCTTCATGGCCAATATTCTGCCCGTACCAAACAAGCTGACGTAGACAAAACCCGTACCCATCAGTGGCGACGTAGTGCAGGGTTGAAAGCGGAAACTGAAGTTTTTATCCTTGCTGCGCAGGACCAATGCTTGCTAACTAGGAATTATCAAGCACATATACTAAAATATTGTGTCAGCCCAAAATGCAGATTCTGTGATAAATATCCAGAAACGATTGATCATCTTGTATCAGGTTGCACGATGTTGGCACCCACTGAATATAAAACCCGACATGACAGAGTGGGCCAATATCTGCACTGGAAAATCTGCAACTTCTACGGGAAGGAAACTGAAAGAAACTGGTATGAACACCACCCAGACCCGGTTACGGAGATGGGACCTGTTAAAATTCTATGGGACTACACAATACACACTGACAGAACAATCAAAGCCAACCACCCAGATATTGTTATTAAAGACCACAAACAAAACGGTGCCTTCTTATTGATATGGCAGTCCTGCTGACTGCAATGTATCTTTGAAGATATTCAAAAAGCTGTCAAAATACAAGGACCTTGAAATAGAAATCTCGAAAATGTGGCATATGGGAACATCAACATTCCTTGTTGTAGTTGGAGACCCTAGGACTGGTTGGAAAAAAGATTGCAGTAGACTAATTGAAGGGATTCCTGGAGTCCATGCCTCAAGGAGACACAAAAAATTGTTCTGACAAGTACAGCCCACACACTTTACGAAGGGCTTTACCTATGTAATTTTTTTGTTTTTTTTGTCAGTGGAAAGTGTCATGATGCCATTTTCTAACCTTAGGTCCCTGGGTGGGACCCGGAAAGAAATGTGTAAACGCCAGAAATCAAAGGAAATAATAATAATAATAATAATAATAATAATAATAATAGATAATCAGAATAGCACTTGAAAAAATTCATGGGACTTTATAATATACACAGATAGAACAATCAAAGCTAATCACCCAGACACCGTGATTAGAGACCGAAAAGGCAAAATGTGTCTCCTTATTGACATGGCAGTCCCTACAGGCTGCAATGTATCTTTGAAGATCTTCAAAAACTATCTAAATACAAAGACCTTGAAATTAAAATCTAACAAATGTGACACATGAGGACATTAACAATTCCAGTTGTAGTTGAAGCCCCGGATTGATTGGAAAAGATTCCGATAGACTCATTGAAAGAATACCTGGTAGTCCATGCCTTAAAAATTACAAAAAAAATTGTTCTCACGAGTACAGGAATAATAATAATAATAATAATAATAATAATAAACTTCATGAATAATAAAAATAAAGCAATATTCCTTTATTATCATTAATTGGAAGGGTGTGTTTGATGAACTCTAGCAAGGGCATTGTTTAGAAATGGGACAATTCTTAAGTCACCATGATTTTTGAACTCACTTTTGACGCTCAGTAATTAATCGACCAGTCTGGATACTTCGCCAATTTCCAACTTGATAAAATGTATAATACAGGAATTACATTTGGAATTCCTCCTTGATTAGGCTGAGAACTTTTCAGCAACACCTCGTATTTACAAGGAGAGAGAGAGAGATAAAGCGGTTAAAGAAGAGAGATTATTTATGGACTGAACACCTGGTGTTTTTTTTTTCAGGTATATGAAAACAAAACGAAACACATGTTATAAATACTTAGAATTAAAAATTCCTTTCGTTTATATATTCAACCACCCCTTCCTCAACAGGACAACTGGCGCATTACGCATAAAATGATATAAAGTGATAAATATTAAAAAGGACTGAATCAATTAATATCCATTATCACAAACACACAAAAACTCTCTGTGTGTATGTGTGCACATACAAGTGTACACATTTCAGGTTTCTCTGGGTGTGTTTGTGCGAACTAAAATACGTACACCTGTGTATACAAACACACACACATATATATATATATATATATATATATATATATATATGTGTGTGTGTGTGTGTGTGTGTGTGTGTGTGTGTGTGTGAGAGAGAGAGAGAGAGAGAGAGAGAGAGAGAGTGTCATCCCAAAACGGGCACAGAGGAGAATTTCCCTCCTCCCCACCAAACATAATCAAACGCAAACAAGTATAAATAAAATCCATTCTTAAAAAATAAACCAGTTTGTCTGATGATCGCAAATGAGTGAAACCCAGGATCACGAACTCATATCCATACAACTGAATATGTTATCACTATCACTGATGTTGAGCAAATTCCAGTAAGTATTGTGCATATAAAATAATATTAATAAACACACACACACACACACAGATATCACAACACCAGCCGTATACATACATATGTCATATCCGAAACTGCCCACATATGCTTATATATGTATGAGTCCCGACGGACGACCAAGTATGTATATGTGTCTGCATACATCGATGTTTGCGTTAGTACGATGACGTAAGCGACGAAGTTTCCCCCACCACTTCCACAATAACACCAATACACGCAATCTACATAAACTTACATTTTTTAAAAAAATTAATCACTTTGTCTCACGATCGCTAAAGCGTGAAACCCAGGGTCACAAATTCACATTTAACCATATATATATATATATATATATATATATATATAT